AATTTAAATTAATAATAAAAACATAATAATAATAATAATATTAAAGATATTGTTATTGTTATAACTAATAAAAATTACATATTTAAAAAAATATATAATTTTGTTATATTTAAAATAAATAAAAAATCTTAAATATTTATTTATCTATTTATTTTTTTATTTTAGTCATTTAGCATTTTCTTTTCGGTTGTTCATTCATCATTGTAAACCTGTTTTAATTTTTTTATTTTTTTTTATGTAATGCTGAAATCAAAACAAAGAAGAAGAAAAAAACAGCCTGATGGGAGTGTGGAGGGGGATGAAGATGTGATGATGACGAGTCCAGCACCTGGACATGACGCTGCTTCCGCTGTCCGCAGAGGAGTTGGACATGTCCAGACCATACATTTTGCGCAGCTTGGGACGAGCGCGTTCGCTGGTTTTGGGAATATTCTGAGGCATGTCGTCCAAGTCATCCAACATCCAAGGTCGGGAAAACAGCATGGTGGCTTCGGTGTATGCGCTGATGGATGGACAGATGGACAGATGACAGATGACAAAATATAATGCAATGAAAATGATGACAAGAAAAAATTAGAAAAAAAAAAAAGAATGAGGTTGCCAAGTCTCCTGATTCTCAAATGTTGCTCCTGAGATAAGAAAAACTTTAAATATCGTGAATGTCAAATGTCATGACAATTATGTCAATGCAAAAAATCTTAACCTTTTCTTTTCTAATAATTCTAATAATTTTCTTTTGAAATGTAGAAACATAATTTCTACATTTCTTGATACTTTTCGTGAGATTCACTCGATTCACTCTACAAGTCAAAGCTGAAGACCTGGAGATGCTGTCTCTGGAAGCGAAGGAATCCAGGCTGTGGCTGACTCGTCTGCGGCGCTCTCTGTTTGAGCAGGAGTCCTCCTCACTGATCCGGTCCAGTCCAGATTCACGAGATCCGTTCAGTTTCATCTGCTTCTGGTAGTACACATGGATGCTCTCACGGGATGGCACGTTTCCCTGCAGGACGAACAACAGTGAATCAGTTCTAGACCAACATCAGCTAAACTAATTCATTTAATTGTTAGACTATAGTCATAAACTTGTTTCAGTTCCAAAGAGGTACCAACAGCATTTTTTGGTGTATTTGAAATGAAATTACACATATTATTGAACTTAAAAGTTGAATTAATTTCAGAATTTTTTTGCAATCATTTGCCATCATTACATTTAAAAATATATTTCTATATACTATAAGCAGAACCTTCTTGACTTCTCTGGTCAGCATGCAGCGCTCGATGCGCAGAACGGTGGAGATGTCGATGTATTCTCTGCAGACGGAGTTCAGCCACTTGGTGATGCTCTCAACGGTGGTCAGAAACAGCACCCAGGTGAACTTGATGATGTTGACGACCCTCTTGATGATGTTGTCTACAGGAAGTGGAAAGGTTAGTTTGGTTTGTCTGAAGTTTATATGAACAGGAAACCAATGCGCTCCATGTACACACCTGGTCCGTCCGTTTTGTCTTCCTCTGAACTCTGACGATCTTCTTCACCGATCTCTATCGCCACATGACCTACACACAGGAAGTTGCTTATCCATGAGATCAATTTATAATTATGGCCACAGTTTTTCAGTTCAATTTTCTATGAGTCTATTTCTATCTCACAATTCTCTCTTTGTTTCTTGTTTCTGGCCTAATAAGATCTGGCAAAGGGACTAATGAAAACTAGCCTTCGGGACAATTTGGGTACATTTACATTCATAAATGTTGATTAATGTACACTGTCCCTTTTTGTGAAATAAATGAATAAAAAAAAAAAAGAAAAAGAAAAATGTCAGAATTACAAGATAACTCGGAATTCAGAGTTGTTTCCTTGGAATTCCAAGTTTACATCTCACAATTCTGACTCTTTTTTTTTTTGTTTCCACCATGGAAAAAAACATTTAATTACAACTTCTCATAATTCAGACTTTATTTCTGACAAATTCTGAAGAAATCACATGTACAAGATATAAACTCAGAATTGAGAAATATGAACTCACACTTTTGAGAAAAACGTCAGATAAACTTAGAATTCTGACTTTTTATCTTACAATTCCAAATTTACATCTCTCAGTTGTGAGTTTATATCTCTCAATTTTTATTTATTGTTTGTTTCCACCATGGGAAAAAAAATTATAAAAAAAGGTAACTATGACTTCTCATAATTCGGTGAACTATCCCTTTAAGACATTTTGACATTGAATATTGGCTTTGAATAACACAACTACCTGCAATGCTCTACAAAAATATACACAAATAGAAAATTTAAATACTTACTTTGTAAAGATTTGTATATTTACTACTGAAATATCATCCTTTTTAGGATTTTATTCATTTCTAGAAGCCGACTGATGTCTGATACATCATAAATATTCATTATGTAGAACCAATAAGTTTTGTTATGCTACAATAATAAAAACATATGCATAATATATATTTTATAATTAAAATAATGTATTATTTTATATTAATAATAACATTATTATTATTATTATTATTATGGCTGTTGTTGTTATTGTTATTACTATTAGTAAATGTAGTAAATGTTATGTTAAATGTTTTCTTTCCACTAGATGGTATTTATAATACTAATAATGATATTAATAATATCAATATTAAATTGCATTAATTTTAATAATAATTGTCATTAGTTTCTGCATGAGCTCTCAACCAATGATTCACCGGAGTTCCACAAGGACCGCCTCCCTCATTTCCATGTCGCACTCGGAAAAGTAAAAAGAAATAAATGAATAAATAAATCTGGAAATAAATAAATGTGGGAATAAATAAATATAATAAAATAAGCGCATGAATAAATACATTTAAAAATAAATAAATAAATAAACACATGAATAAAACAAATTAAATAAATATAAATAAGTAAATAAAAGTTAAAAAGAATAAAAATAAATGTATACATAAATAAATACAGAAAATAATACATAAAGAAAAAAGTAATAAAAATTAATTCAGGATTTTAATTACATTTTATTACAAATATTTGTTTTTATCAAGTAATTTCTTTCTTTCTTTATTTTCCATTATTACATTTATTTATTTATCTATCTATATATTTATTTATTTTAAATTTCTGCAGGTTTGGTCCTTCATATGATGGGAGTGTAAAGGGTGAGGATGAATGTGATGAAGATTTGATGATTATGAGTTCAGCACCTGGACATGACGCTGCTTCCACTGTCCGCAGAGGAGTTGGACATGTTCAAACCGTACATTTTGCGCAGTTATTTATCTATTTATTTTTTTATTTTAGTCATTTAGCATTTTCTTTTCGGTTGTTCATTCATCATTGTAAACCTGTTTTAATTTTTTTATTTTTTTTTATGTAATGCTGAAATCAAAACAAAGAAGAAGAAAAAAACAGCCTGATGGGAGTGTGGAGGGTGATGAAGATGTGATGATGACGAGTCCAGCACCTGGACATGACGCTGCTTCCGCTGTCCGCAGAGGAGTTGGACATGTCCAGACCATACATTTTGCGCAGCTTGGGACGAGCGCGTTCGCTGGTTTTGGGAATATTCTGAGGCATGTCGTCCAAGTCATCCAAGGTGGACTGACGGGAAAACAGCATGGTGGCTTCGGTGTATGCGCTGATGGATGGACAGATGGACAGATGACATGAGCGGAAATATAATGCAATGAAAATGATGACAAGAAAAAATTAGAAAAAAAAAAAAGAATGAGGTTGCCAAGTCTCCTGATTCTCAAATGTTGCTCCTGAGATAAGAAAAACTTTAAATATCGTGAATGTCAAATGTCATGACAATTATGTCAATGCAAAAAATCTTAACCTTTTCTTTTCTAATAATTTTGTTTTGATTCTTTTGAAATGTAGAAACATAATTTCTACATTTCTTGATACTTTTCGTGAGATTCACTCTATAAATGATACAAGTCAAAGCTGAAGACCTGGAGATGCTGTCTCTGGAAGCGAAGGAATCCAGGCTGTGGCTGACTCGTCTGCGGCGCTCTCTGTTTGAGCAGGAGTCCTCCTCACTGATCCGGTCCAGTCCAGATTCACGAGATCCGTTCAGTTTCATCTGCTTCTGGTAGTACACATGGATGCTCTCACGGGATGGCACGTTTCCCTGCAGGACGAACAACAGTGAATCAGTTCTAGACCAACATCAGCTAAACTAATTCATTTAATTGTTAGACTATAGTCATAAACTTGTTTCAGTTCCAAAGAGGTACCAACAGCATTTTTTGGTGTATTTGAAATGAAATTACACATATTATTGAACTTAAAAGTTGAATTAATTTCAGAATTTTTTTGCAATCATTTGCCATCATTACATTTAAAAATATATTTCTATATACTATAAGCAGAACCTTCTTGACTTCTCTGGTCAGCATGCAGCGCTCGATGCGCAGAACGGTGGAGATGTCGATGTATTCTCTGCAGACGGAGTTCAGCCACTTGGTGATGCTCTCAACGGTGGTCAGAAACAGCACCCAGGTGAACTTGATGATGTTGACGACCCTCTTGATGATGTTGTCTACAGGAAGTGGAAAGGTTAGTTTGGTTTGTCTGAAGTTTATATGAACAGGAAACCAATGCGCTCCATGTACACACCTGGTCCGTCCGTTTTGTCTTCCTCTGAACTCTGACGATCTTCTTCACCGATCTCTATCGCCACATGACCTACACACAGGAAGTTGCTTATCCATGAGATCAATTTATAATTATGGCCACAGTTTTTCAGTTCAATTTTCTATGAGTCTATTTCTATCTCACAATTCTCTCTTTGTTTCTTGTTTCTGGCCTAATAAGATCTGGCAAAGGGACTAATGAAAACTAGCCTTCGGGACAATTTGGGTACATTTACATTCATAAATGTTGATTAATGTACACTGTCCCTTTTTGTGAAATAAATGAATAAAAAAAAAAAAGAAAAAGAAAAATGTCAGAATTACAAGATAACTCGGAATTCAGAGTTGTTTCCTTGGAATTCCAAGTTTACATCTCACAATTCTGACTCTTTTTTTTTTTGTTTCCACCATGGAAAAAAACATTTAATTACAACTTCTCATAATTCAGACTTTATTTCTGACAAATTCTGAAGAAATCACATGTACAAGATATAAACTCAGAATTGAGAAATATGAACTCACACTTTTGAGAAAAACGTCAGATAAACTTAGAATTCTGACTTTTTATCTTACAATTCCAAATTTACATCTCTCAGTTGTGAGTTTATATCTCTCAATTTTTATTTATTGTTTGTTTCCACCATGGGAAAAAAAATTATAAAAAAAGGTAACTATGACTTCTCATAATTCACAACTTTATTCTCACAATTCTTAATTTTTTTCTCTGAATTACACATTTATATCTTGCATATTGAGTTTATCTCACAATACGCAATTCTGCTTTTATGTCTAACAATTCTGAATAATTGAAATGCCACAATTACCTTTTTTATTGGTGGTGGAAACAAGCTTAAATAATTTTCAGATGATAAAGATCGCCATACCTTCTTTCTTGTCTTTTCTACGTCTGCGGCCATATCGCTTCCAGAAATGACGTCTCCCTTTGCCTCTTTCTTTCAGGGCTGCTTTAGAGTCAACGATCCAGGTGTGATACACAAACTACAGAACATCAATATGAATTTATCTATTAATGCTATGTTTAAATAGTGTTGCACAAGAACGTCAACACACACACGTCACATGTTCAGTCATTTCAGGAAGCCAGATGAAATTTAACTCATGATTCAAATTTGTCCACAACATACATATATTACATGCATCATTTAGACCATGAATTTGTATTTTAACCCCTGAAAAGTCTGAATTTGACACTGGATTAACAAGCACATCCACCACAGAATACCCACAATGAATACAAACAACTGTTTTCCATCCAAATTTTCCAAATCTTTGAAATCCATTTGCATTTTTGACTTGTATTATACATGTGTATTGACATGTTTTTATTCATTCATTGGATTGAACGAGTTGTTTGAATCCAGGTTACACAAGAAAATGGAAAATTCAAAGAGAGTAAATGTTTTTTGCTCCACTAATATCTGAATGATTCGTGAACGCTTAGTGTTGGTGCATCAAAAAATGGTTTGATGCTTTTTGTGGTTATTTCTCAAATGCAGTGGAGCAAATCACATAATTTAGTAGCAAAGAAAAACCTTTAAAGTAAATAAACAGAAATAGGATTAAACAATGAACAACACCCTAAAATAATTTCCATTCCATGCATCCTCAAAGGAGTTATATTTCAACATTTCATTTTATTATTATTATTTTTTTTTTTTACAAATATCATAACTGAAACAACATGGAATGGAAATCTTACACTAAAACACCATCAACAAACACAGAAATGGAAACACAGATGACACGTTCCCCGCGGTGGTACCTTGGCCGCCCTGATTAAATACTGCAGAACAGTTTTGGGCAGTTTAATGACAGATCTGGGTAAAGCCACGAGGGCCGAAGCAAACTTTCTGATCGCTCGCTGAGAGGAGAAAAACCAGGAGAAAGTCACAGCATCAGAGTCCTGAAGCCCTTCAAACAGTTACAACACTATACAATATAACACATGAACAATAAATCACAAGGTTGTCACTAAACAGATGGATAAAACCACCGCAACAGATGCTCTGGAAAAAACACTGGTGCTTTTGAGGAATGTTTATTTGTTCATCTCTCAATCATGATTGTATTGCATTTTATGTTTTGACCATAAAACTAAGCATTAAATATCATCTTACTCATGATGACTGATATCTATCTATCTATCCATCTATCCATCTATCTATCTATCTATCTACCTATCTATCTATCCATCCATCCATCCATCCATCCATCCATCCATCCATCCATCCATCCATCCATCCATCCATCCATCCATCCATCCATCCATCCATCCATCCATCCATCCATCCATCCATCCATCCATCCATCCATCCATCCATCCATCCATCCATCTATATATACAGTATATACACACATTTATATAAGTATCTGCTTTCTGCTACACTGTTACAAAGATTTCACTGATTTACATTATAAGCTATCAGAATTTTATACTTTTTGTTCATATAAGTATCAGCATCTGCACCAAACTGCATATTTAGTTTTTCCTCCAAATTCTCTCTATATCACACTAAATGAGTCATAAAAGTCTGATGGATCAAAAATGATACAAACCATAAAACACATATGCGAACTGAGAAGAATAAATGTAAGCTGGACTCCAGAGAAGTTAAATCTGTTTTCTTCTGCAGACTCACCAGGAAGGCTGATCTCTTGGGTGGTTCTTCATCTTTTTTCTCCTCCTCTTCCTCTTCCTCTTCACTGTCAGTTTCAAACAGGTAATAATCACCACTTCTCACCACTGAGAGAGGAATGGAGGAGCAAAAACAATCATATAAAATTGTCAAACAGGAGAATAACATGTTTTTGAGAATTCATATAACACAATAAACATTGAAAAAGTTTGTTATTGACTAATCAATTACATGACATAACAGAAAATACGAATAAATCTCTTGACCGAACTTACCTGAATCTCTAAATCTGAAAACCATAGTCAAACTTAGTTTTTAAGGCATAACAGATTAGCACGAGTCATTAACGTTTGTAAAGCAGTACCATAAAAAAACAATAACAACCTTAGAATCTTGCACATCCCATTTTAGGCTTTTTATAAAATGTATGTTTTATATTTGTTATACTACTTCAATAAAACAGCATATTATCAATCAAATAAATCAACAAAATGATTAAAAACTACACCCATATCTCTGGCTGGGTTAGTCAGTCATCTTACACCACAGAAACACCTCTATGTCTGCAGTTTCACAATCGCATGGCAAAACAGGATTTGGAATAAGGAAACTGCCTTGTGTCCTTGAACAGAAGAGCCGCAATGGATGGGGAGGACAGGGGAGGATGCTGGGAAAACATTTCAACACTTTATTTGAGAGCCTCAGATTAACAAAACCCTAAAAATCTCTTAAGAAGACCACATTTTCTATAGTGATTAGTGTCTCTCTTTAAAAAACTACAATGGTGATATCAGGGTTTTCAGACATGGCACCACAGTAATACCATGGATTTTTGGACAGGATCATGATATTAATACTATGGTATTCTTTGCAGTACATGTAAATACCATAGTATATGAATATGGCAATCATATTCAATCATGTACCATGGTACCACCACAGTATGTTTGTGTATGACAGCTTTTCCTTAATAGTCTATATTCTAATCACTATATAAAACAAGTATTGATATTTAAAGAAGGTTTACAGTTAAATCGCATCTCATGTGCTTCAGTATCACGCTGATAACGGAGATCAGCTCATCAAAGACGACAAAGTAAATACCATCTCACTCATATCACACCAACATAATGAGTTTGAGGGTATTTCTTTTGCTTTTTGATGGTTTTCTGTTGAGCACTTTCTTTGTTGAAGAGGAGATAAAGAGAGGGACCAAAAATGTCTGATTTATAAAGTTATTTCACCCAAAAATGAACATTTAATAAACCTCTTGTCAATTTTAATGCCTTTTGCTTTATTTGAACAAAAACACAGTAATATTGTGGAATAATTGAAAAACTTTTCTTTTTGAATATATTTTCAAATTTAATTTATGCTTCACATTTTTGTGGAAACTGATCATTTTTTTCCCAGGATTTTTTTGTTAAATAGAAAGCTCAAAAGAATGGCATTTATTTGAAATAGAAATGTTTTCTAACATTATAAATGCCTTTACAGTTTGATCAATTTAATGCATCTTCTATGAACAAAAATATTAATTCAATTTAAAATTAATTTAAAAAATATAGAAAAAACATTGACTTCCATTGCACAAAAAAAAAAAAAAGAGCGCCATGAACATCCTGCTAAATAACGTTTTAAAGCATTTTCATTTATGGATGAAATACTCTCATAATACCAAGGCAGCTCAAGCTGATTCATTATTATATGGTCATGAGGGAAATCTCTCTATTTCCACAACAGAGTGTCTAGTGGATTTGAATAAAGCAGAGTGATTCTCTACTGTACGGCTCCGTTCACCTGCTCATACGGTCACATGACAACAAACCAGAACCATCCAGACATTCAACTTTTCCTCCGGCTGCTGTATAGATCTATTTAAGGCACCAAATCAATGTCATTTTTTACATCTGTAAGTGTTAGGATGCTTTTATTTAAAGTCATCATTTAGTTTTACACTTCAAAAGATCAAGGAAAGTGTGATTCCTGATGAAATGACTGCTTTAAAGTGTCTACCACTGGTAGTTAACACTGCATGTACAATCATAAGGCAGACGGCCTTAAATAGATGTAGAAAAGTCTAAGGTCTGGAGGGTGTGTTTGTCATGTCGGAGGTCTGACGGAGCACAAGTGCAGTATGGGAATCCTCTGACTTCTGGTCAAGGACACAAGGATCAGTGAGATCAGAGGAAGGTATGAGGAACCTACTGGACGCATGGTCAACCCAAGGCCTCCACCACTGCTTTTTGTGCACCTTGTTTTTCTTTTTCTCTGCAAATGAAATGTTAGAACGTTAATGAAAGCATGTCAGAAGTGACACTGGCGAAATTGGAAACCTTTTCCTGGTTGCTTTACGGAGAATGTGAAGAATATGCAGCTAAATACACACATGAGAGTGCTAAACTTGGCTTTTTACAGTTCTGTTTGTGATGCTTCTATGAAAGCACACTATTTTATCTTACTGTCGTGATCTACATCGTACCATCATCATCACCGTCGTCGTTGTCGTCAGGCTGGATGAGTTTCTGCTCGTCTCCAGACTCCTGAGCCATGCTGAGCATCTTCTCCTTTCCTCTCTTGAACTTCTGCTGCCGCGTCTTAATATGATCCATCCTAAATGAATGCATTCATAGTAATGAGAGAAACCATTCACAGCACATTTAATAATAATAATAAAAAACTCTAATAACATGTACATTGTAGTAATATACGCTTTTTAAAAGTTTGGGGTCATTAAGATTTTTTAATATAAAAAGTCTCTTCTGCTCACCAAGGCTTCATTTACTTAATCATAAATACAGTAAAAACAGTAATATTATGAAATACTATTGCAATTGAAAATAAATATTGAATTGAACTGAAAGCCAGTCATAAGGGTACATTTTTCAAAATTGAGATTTATACATCATCTGAAAGCTAAATAAATAAGATTTTGATTGATGTATGGTTTGTTAGGATAGGACAATATTTGGCTGAGATACAACTATTTGAAAATCTGGAATCTGAGGGTGCAAAAAAATCTAAATATTGAGAAAATCGCCTTTAAAGTTGTCCAAATGAAGTTCTTAGCAATGCATAGTACTTATCAAAAATAAAGTTTTAATATATTTACAGTAGGAAATGTACAAAATATCTTCATGGAACATGATCTTTACTATACTAATGATTTTTGGCATAAAAGAAAAATCAATAATTTTGACCCATACAATGTTTTTTTGGCTATTGCTTCAAATATACCCCAGCGACTTAAGACTGGTTTTGTGGTCCAGGGTCACATATTGTAAAATGCATGGAATTTTCAGCATCATTACATAAAAAAAAAGAAAATCTTACTGACCCCAAGCTTTTTAATGCTAGCAGGCTAGTGAAAGCGAAGTTTCTACATAACTACATAACATGAGCTAAGGTTGCTAGAGTGGTGGTTTTCGATTAGAAATTATGACTTGGGTAACTGTTGAGCTCTACTATGGACTATTACATGCAACTCATGAAGTCAAACACAAATGAAAGGACGTTTCTCACTGTCTCTTCAGTTGCTCCATGGATCTCTTCTCCTCCTCCAGACGAGCTCTCACGGCCTTCACAATGCTGGCCTGAAACAACTCTGCTCCTCTGACAGACAGACAGACGGACAATACTTAACTAAACTGTACTGACATTTACACATACTCCACTACATACTATAAATGACACATTTATGTTCTTAGTCCATACTTAAAAATGTATGGAAGCCTGTTTCTTTTGTTTTTTTTGTGCATTTTTTGCAAGTTGCATTTTTTTTACCTCCAAATTCTGAACTTTTACTTCAGAATTCTGAGTTTACATCTCACATTTCTTACGTTTTCAGAGAATTCTTTTTATATATCACAATTCAGACTTCTCTTCTCAGAACTTTCAATTTATATCTCAGAATGCTGATATGTTTTCTGACAATTGCGAGTTTATATCTTGTAATTCTGTATTTACGTTGCACAATTATGACTTTTTTCTCACAATTCTGGGAGAACATTTCACAACTCTGACCTTTTTCCTCACAATTGCAATTCATCTCCCAATTCTGATGTGTGACCCTGAAAAACCAGTCTTAAGTCGCTGGGGTATATTTGTAGCAATAGCCAAAAATACATTGTATGGGTCAAAATTATCGATTTTTCTTTTATGCTAAAAATCATTAGAATATTAAGTAAAGATCATGTTCCATGAAGATATTTTGTAAATTTCCTACCGTAACTATATCAAAACTTAATTTTTGATTAGTAATATGCATTGCTAAGAACTTCATTTGGACAACTTTAAAGGCGATTTTCTCAATATTTCGATTTTTTTGCACCCTCAGATTCCAGATCGTCAAATAGTTGTATCTCGACCAAATATTGTCCTATATTTCAATGGAAAGCTTATTTATTCAGCTTTCAGCTGATTTATAAATCTCAATTTCGAAAAAATTTACACTTAAGACTGTTTTGTGGTCCAGGGTCCCATATTTTTTCTTCTTCTCAGAATTATGAGGAAAAGTCTGAATTGTGAGATATAAACTGAGAACTGAGAGAAAAAAAAAGTCGTAATTGCAAGATAAAAAGTTGTGGGCAGAAATATGTTTCCATAGAAATGTTCTCCAAATTGCAAATATGAAATTATCCCTCAAACAAAAACGTACATTCAAAACAAATCTAACACACTTGTGTGTAAACATATGTAAACACTTTGTACCGAGATGCGAGAATCTGTCCGGCGCGGATGTCTGCGACCACATGCAGGAAGTAGTAGCTCATGAAGACACGTCTCTGCAGCAGGAGGAACGTAAAGCAGATACTGTCCCAGATAATCCCAGCCTCGTCCTTTGGCACCTCACAATTCTCTAAAGACACGCCTGAAGACACACGGAACACATATAAAGCCATTAGAGATCATTTGAATAATGCAATGTTGCTTCTCAACCAAAAGTTCTAAGTTAAAGTTGCATGTTGCTAAGCAAACAAGCATAAAAATATACTGTGCACACAAATATTGGCTAAAATAATACATATGCAATGAAGTTAACATTTTATAATTATTTTACTTATATTGAAATATATTTGTAATGAACAGTTTGTTGACACCACCTTGGTTCATCACAATGCATTGCCTTTTTTGTGAACGACAGATGCTATGGCGTCTTTGAAAGCACACAAATAGGCTGCCTTCTGAAACTATGATGCTTTTGTAGACAGCTCACAATATGTTTAATTTATATAACAACAAAGATTAGAAACCAGAATGTTGGCCAAAAGCAACCTTTCTTTACCTTCTAGAGCTTTGTATTCTTTTATGGTGCAGGCAAGACTGAGCAGCTGAACCAACCAGCAGCTATTCTTCACCAAATGCTTGATATAACCACATGCCAAAATCTGTGGAAAAAGAAAAGAAAAGAATAATATAGGGGAAAAAAATACAATTCTTAATGCATGTTACTCATCTTTTAAGTTATTGCTTAATTAAATTTTTTTTGTTTATGCATTTACTAGCCTCCTCAACAGACTAAAATAATAATTTATCTATTTTATTCACTGATACAAAACTTCATGGTAATGAAACACTAAATAGAGAATATATACTGTAAAATAAAAAGTGTAAAATTCACTGTACTGTAAAAATAAAAAATATTAATTATAAATTATTATAATATAATTACAATTAATATTATAATTATAAATGAATAAAAATATGTTGAGATGTTCTTTTTTATTTCTCTGCAAATAAATAAATAAATAAATAAATTTCATACATTAATGTAATGATTTTGGCAGAATTGGCTGAAAACTGTAAATGCATTTCTTTAAGGGATAAGACACTCACAGCAAACACGTTCTTCATTGTGATGACGAAGACATTGTAAGCTATGAGGACATCCCAGTAACGGAGGATCTTCTTGATTGGCTTGAGCAAGAGATCGCCACCGAAGAGCAGGAAGTAAAAACACGCCACCAGGTAACCCATGCAGAAGACACTGATCCGAGTCGTGCCCGTGATGAAGATGATGGTCAGCACGAACCAGAACAGGTAGCTAAACATGATTACCTTCAGCATGTCCAGGTACGACCTGAGAGAAGGAAATAACATTAACATGAGAGCAATGTTTAACTGACGTTTGTTTAAATGATCCATCCAAACTAGCGATGCGCCAATAATAAACTTCTCAGCCCATACCGATAGCCGATTATTCCGAATGATATCTGCCGATACCGATAGTTTAGTTTTCTTAAGAAAAAAATCTCACCCTGTTAACTATAGGGAGCCCTCTCATTTTGTACATAATATTAGAGGTTAAAATTAACAACAAAGCTATTATATTAAATGCTGTTTATTTTAAGATAATAATCACACTCAAATAAAAACTCTTGTATACAACTCAATTGCACAATGTAGTTTTCATAAAAATGGGTCATCATGACAGATTTATTCAAACATACATATATAATTAACAGTGTTTTTTTTATAGTTAAAGGGGTCATATGATGCGATTTCAAGTTTTCCTTTCTCTTTGGAGTGTTACAAGCTGTTCGTGAATAGATAATATCCCTAAAGTTGCAAAGACTAAAGTCTCAAATCCAAAGAGATATTTTTTATAAAAGTTAAGAGTCAACCACGCCTACCTAAAACGGCTCGTTCTAACATGCCCCCACATGTCTACGTCACTATGTGGGAAGATTTGCATAACGCCGCCCAAATGTTCACACAAAGAAAGAAGGCATAACTTTTATTCTTGCTGTTGTATTGTTGCCGCCGCCGCCATGTCGTGAAGGCATTGTGTGTTTCGTTGTGAACGCGAAACTACTTTGTTTGGTCTTCCAAAAGAGGACACGACTAGAAATCAGTGGTTAAGTTGTACTTACAACACTGTTCCAGAACACTTCAACCCAAATATTCAGATGTGTGCAGCGCATTTTATGGAGGACTGTTTCCTGATCCTGATAGAGTAGACTACAATGCCGGCTGTTCTGACTCACAGACTGTAAGTACGTTTTCATATTTAAAGGATTTGCCACTGACGATTCAAACGCGAGTTTTGAGCAGTGTAGAGTAGCGCTTGTTGTTTGTCATTTCTCCGATCACAAATGCAGACATGGTTTTATGTTTACGCAGCACGATGCAACACAGTATAAATCGACAGTATAAATCATTATAATCCGTAAATATGTCCCCACTGGATGCAACAAATGCCTCGTTTATAATGGGTTTTATTGGTTTTGTCTCGTCGCTCCGGGACACGGCATCAATAGTATGTGAGGGGCGTAACATTTCCGTCACACGCTTGAGGAATTCGGCCAATCACAACGCACTGGATAGCTGGCCAATCACAGCACACCTCGCTTTTCAGAACGATGAGCTTTGTAAAAATCAACGTGTTTCAGAAAGGCGGGGCATAGAGGAGAAACAATAATGTACAGTATGTGGAAAATAATGTGTTTTTTTAACCTTAAACCGCATAAACACATTTCATTACACCAAATACACAAAATAATGTTCTTTTTAGCAACATCATATGACCCCTTTAACTAATGAACTGTGAACACTGGATAACTTTTCTGAGGTAAAACAAAGTCATTGGGTAAAAGCAACTTTAAGTAACATGCTGTTCCCAAGCTGTTTTATTGACGTCTTTCTTTGGGTTGAAACGCTGATTGATCGATTACATGAGATGTGATACATTTCAGTAAGTTGTACTTTATCTTTCAACACACCTTCTGATGTTCATTCATGTTTATTTTGCAGTGTAACTTGGTCTCGTGTGCCGTGCTGCTGCTTGAACTGAAGCGCAACAGCGATCTGTCACATCACTGTAAAGAGCGCCAAAATGGCATTTATTGTTTGAATTTTGTAATAAAATGTACAGGATTTGAAAGCTGAGACTTTGTTTCTTATTAGAAGTAACAACGCACACAGCTCTTTGCTATTATTGGATGGGAGGCGCATTAGAAATAATATTTAGTGAAGGAAAACCGCAGGTCTGGCAACCCTGGCTTGAACTATGGGTGATTTATAGGGTCAAACAGAACCCGCGTTAACAGCGCTGCATTAATCTGTTACTATTTAACTGGGACAGCCAAAATATAAAAATAAAAGTAATGTAAAACATAATAAAATGTTGTAGTGCATTATTAAACTAGCAGAGAAAAAAACTGTAAAAAATGTACCTGCTTCATTTACTGGTACTAAAACATTATTTCATAGCATAATTACATGACAAATGTAGAGCAAATAAAATAAAATTGTATTCAAATGTAATGAATAATTCTAAGATGATGTGCTGACTGTAGCAGCCCAAGTAATTATCTGCATTATGGTTGAAAATAAAATAGAACCAAAAAAAAGTAAAACATAATAAACAATTTGGATTAATTAAAAAGCATGTTAACAGTAAAACTTACACTGTTCATTCACTGTTATTAAAACATTATTTTATATGATAATTATATGACAAATGTAGAGCATATAAAATTAAATTAAATAAAATGAAACATAATAAAATAAAGGCTTATATATATATATTTTTTTTTTATTAATAATTTTATATAAATGGGTCATAGACGTTAAGATGTCCGCATCAAAAGAAATTTACAAAAGTGATTATATGTCCATAGAAAGAACATTAAATGTAAGTAAAGTCTACTTTTAAGGTTTCAAATAAGTTTTTGGAGAATAAAATGTTAAAATTTGGTTGAAATAATGTTACATTGTCATTCAGTGTAACACAATATTTATGAAAAAATTCAAACAACATGCTTATTCTGTCTTGTACATATTACAATATATAAAAGAATAAGGGAGCATATTAAATTGTATTGTGTTTTAAATGAGTAAAAATTCTTACTGACAAATGGGCAAAACCTAGGATAGTGGCAAATTTTAAAAATGTAAAATTACAACTAATTAGTATTTGAGGTGAAAGCAATTAGTCTTTTAATATGTCATAAATTTATTTTTGTTGTAAATATGCCTGCAGAGAATGTTACACTGAATGACATTTTAGTGGGTCTCTTCTGTAAATCAGGGAAAAATGTATGATATTTATTTTTTGCTCAGAAAAACAAAACTGCAATTAAATTAAAAACTTTTACATTTTTTGGGGGAAAAACAACAACAATTTAAAGCAGTATTACACTTATTGTTTTTATGCTTAAACCCTTTTTCGTCTTTGAC